GGGGGGTAGAAACTGCGCAAGGTGGTGAGGATGCAGCGAGGGGGATGGTTCCCGGCGTATGAGTGGCCCAATAATGTCAACAGCAGATTGACCAAGGGGCCGTGGGAGAGGCCCGGGCCCACGCGCACCCTACCGCCCTCGTCAAGGGAATGCGTGCGCCGCGCGGTCCTCTGTCCCAAAGGGAGGTGGTTTCTTGCCGCCGGAACGCCCCCCGTGTCCCCCCCCCCCCCCCCCCCGCTCGACCCGCCTCGTCCTCCTCCCGGCCTCGCGCCTGTGAAAGAAACAAAAATACCGGGCCTGTGCTGGCCATGATGGGGCTTATCCCCCGCACGTCCGGTTGTGGCCCCCGCGCGCACCCTTCCCCCGCCGGTGTCGTGGGCGCTCCTGCACAGGGCTGGGAGACAGGCACACTCGCCGCCCGGGGACCGGCGGGGTCGGGGGCGGGGGCGAAAGGCCACAAGGCGCGAGGAGCCCCACGAGGTCTGAAAATGTTGTCATGTGACGCGGCGCCACCTCCGGTGCCCTTGATCGGCCGTTGGTCGATCGGGCCCCATGCCGGCCCAGGGGCCGGGCAGATTCAAGCCTTCGGGCAGTGTCGGACGTGTGGACCCGGATTTGTCCATTACTTCCCCCCCCCCTTCCCTCCACTGCCTATCTTTTGCCCCTCTTCCACCTACACGTCCCTCGCTCTCCCCCTCGCCACCTGCTGGACCTCCTCGCCACCTACCCCCCGGCATCTGCCGCCTCCCGCTGGTCGACACACAAGGGGCCACAATGAGGGTCCTCCATGTCGCGGAGAAGCCCTCGGTCGCCAAACAGCTGGCCGGCATTTTGGCCCATGCGACAGGCGGCTACCAGACTGTGCGCCTTGCCTTCCAGATCCGGGATTCCGGATGATTATGCCCCACGGCAGATTCCACGAAAGTACAGCTACTCACAGCAGTCGGCGTCCTCTGAAATCCCCCCTCCCCCCTCCCCCCCCCCCCCGGATCTAGCGCACTGGCCCAAGCCAATTCAACTCGAACATGGACTTTGTCTATGACTTCGAGGGCCGGCCCGGGGTCGACATGACCATGACTTCGGTGCTAGGGCATATCACCGAACTGAGCTTCCCGGATGAGGCGCGCTCCTGGCGACACTTTCACCCGGCGGATCTCTTCTACCTGAAGGTGGAGAATCGCATATCTGATGATGACAAAACCCGTCGGGTGTGCAGGAACCTGGAGGCCGAGGCACGCGGTGTGCAGGCGCTCGTCATCTGGACCGATTGCGATCGCGAGGGCGAGTACATCGGCGCGCAGGTGGCCGAGGTGTGCCGCCGGGTGAACCCCTCTTTGCGCGTTCTCCGGGCGCACTTCTCGTCCATCATCCCGCGGGATATCCACGCGGCCATGCGGCAGTTGCGTAGCCTGGATCGGCGGCTGGCCGATGCGGTGGAAACCCGCACGGAGCTGGACTTGCGCATTGGGGCGGCCTTCACCCGCCTCCAGTCGATCACTCTGCAGTCACGCTTCCCCACGGCCATCAGTGGGGTGGTATCCTATGGGCCATGTCAATTCCCGACCCTTGGCTTTGTGGTGGATCGGCAAGTGCGCATCAGTCACTTTGTGGCGGAGCCCTTCTGGAAGATGGCCCTGCTGCATACGGCACCCGGCGACGGGGCCGGATCCCAGTCGCTGGCTCCTCCGGTGACCACGGCCTTCCGTTGGCGACGCGGGCATCTATTTGATTTGGGCCTGGTTGAGGCGCTCTTCTTTCGGGCCCTTGGCCAGAGCGCCGGTGGTCGAGAGGCCCGGGTGTGTTCGGTCAATGAGCGCCCGGTCAATCGACTGCGACCGCTCCCATTGACCACGGTCGAGATGCAGAAGGTGGCCTCTTCGCGCTTGCGCATCCCCTCGAAGGAGCTGATGGATGTGGCCGAGCGCCTTTACAACATGGGGTACATTTCGTATCCCCGCACGGAAACCGACCAATTTGAACAGGGGTTTGACTTGCGCGGGCTGGCCGAGCGCCTGGGCCAGGCGGATCCCGCTGGCGACCGGTCCACCATCGGTGGCTATGCGCGCTGGCTGCTGGCGCCAAATGGCGGCGGCGGGATCACCTGGCCGCGCGCTGGCCGGAACAATGACCATGCGCATCCGCCCATTCATCCGACTCGGCCGCCGGGGTCGGAGTTTTCCGAGCGCGAGCGCCGAGTTTATGAGCTCGTGACCCGGCGGTTTTTGGCTTGCGTCAGTCAAAATGCCGTGGCCAGTCAAACGACAGTCACTCTGTCCGTCGGCGAGGAGACCTTCACGGCCAGCGGGCTGCAAGTTCGCGAGCGTCACTGGCTCGATGTGTATTACCCCTATGTGACCTGGACCGACCGGGCCATCGGCCATTATGAGCCGGGGACCGTGCTGGAGCCGGACACCTTCTGCCTGGAAAGTGGCCAGACCACCCCGCCAAACAACTTGACCGAGGCGGAGCTCATTGCCCTGATGGATGCCAATGGCATCGGCACGGATGCCACCATCCATGAGCACATCCAGAAGGTCCTCCAACGGGAGTATGTCATCCGCCGGAAGCCGGGCGATCAGCTGGCCCCGAGCAATCTGGGACTGGCTCTTGTTGATGCCTACCACTCGTTGGGGTACCTGCTCGCGAAGCCGCACATGCGCGCGAAGGTACGCCCCCCCCCCCCCCCCCCCCGGGCTCCCCCCCCGTCCCCGCCCTCCCCGCCCTTGTACTAGCCCGACATATATAGCCCTCCAACGAAAAAAGAACACCAACCAAAGACCTATAAACACACAAAACAAAGGCCAAATAATTACACAAACTTTTTTAATTTATCCCACAAAAACCAACTCTACCACAATATAACTCTCTCTCTCACACACACACACGTACACACTCTGGTCCTTCCTCACACCTGGACCTCGAGCAGACTGAGCGAGACATGAAGGCCATTTGTGAGGGACGTGACACCAAGGCCGATGTGATTGCTCGCGAGATCCGCCTGTATCGGGCGATCTTTGACCATGTGTTCGCCGACCGCACGGCCTTGGTCCTATCGGTGAAGAAGCATCTGGATGTGGCGCCCAATCAGCAAAGTGACAGTTTCGTGCGTGCCGCCTGCCCTCTCGCGACCCCTGCCTCCAGTGCCACTGCCCCTCCGGGTGGTCAGCTGCTTGCCGTTTTCCCTTTTTCTTCCCCCCCCCCCCCTCGCTCTTTCCTCTTCCCGGCATCTGACACGCGCGAATGCCATGAATAGGATATGCTTGGGGCCCCGAGCTATTCACGCACCGGCGAGCGCACGGCCCCCCCCTCAAATCTCCCGCCAGTGTGGCGACCACCCGTTGCCGGGGGCGGGACAGGCTTCAATGGCCCAAGCGCCAACCGGCGATCCCTGCCCGACTGGCGCGATTCCAGCGCCCCGATGGGCAAACGCACGCGCCTCGACGGCCCCGACACGCCCACCGGGTCTCGTCCCCAGCAGCACCAGCAGTCGCAGCTGTGTTTTCATTGCCACCAGCCGGGGCATTTCTCCTCCAGTTGCCCCTCGCGGGCTGGCCACACTGCTGGCGGCGGGGGCGGAGCAGGAGGTGGGGTGATTTGCTTCCGGTGCAATAAGCCTGGGCACTTTTCCACCAACTGCCCTGAGGCCGGCGGAGGCCCGCCGCAAAGATCTGCCCTGGGATCCAGAGGTGGTGCCGCTCGCGGCCGTGCCGCGCCCCTCCGGAGGTCGTAGATCCGAGCAGGCAGGTATGCGGGCCGGTGTGCAGGCAGGTGTCCCCCTCCGGATGCCTAAGTAAATAGAAACATAGATGGGCGTGCATGCGCCCCCCCCCCCCCCCCTTCCTTCTCTCCTCCCTCGCCCTGCGTCCCTCCTTCCTTCCTTGCTGGGGATGCTGCTCCCCCGAGGGGCAATTGTATTGGTCGTGGAACCCGGCGCGTGCGTGTTTGTGTGTGTTTGTGTGTGTTTGTGTGTGTTTGTGTGTGTGTGTGTTTGTGTCTGTCTGTCTGTGTGTGTATGTGTGTGTATGTGTGTGTATGTGTGTGTTTGCGTCTGGTTATGTGTATGTGTGCGCGCGCGTGGGTGTGAAACAACAGCATGATTCCTTCGTCAAGACGCCAATGCTGGTGGCAGTTCTTCTGCAGCCGCCCCTCGGTCCTCCGGCCTTTCCTCCGGCACCTCGGCTGGTGCGGCGGCAGGTCGCGCTCGGCAAGACGCCGGCGCGTGGCCATGGAGCGCCCTCCCCGCATGGCGTGGAGTCCTGCTGGAGGGTCGTTCTTCAAAGCGCACAGAGCTGGAATTCAAGAATATAACTGCCACCCGGCCGCCCCGCGCGTGCTCACCGGGTTTGTCGGCGGTCTGTGATCCGCCGGCCCCGAGCCGAGCGGCCGAGGTGCGACGGGACACTCAGGCAGTCGAGTGTGGCCAGGTCAGCTGCGTCGTTTGCCCGTAGCACGGAGGCAGAGGGGAAAGCGTGGACTCACTCTCCGGGCATGATGCGGGAAGCACGCCCTTCGGCGGGTGTGGTGCATTGTTGTGAAATGTGCCATCTTCCTTGGGCATACTTGTCCCCCCTGTTCTGTATAGGGGCCGTAGGGGGGGAGTAAGGTCGGGCCGAGCCAGAGGGGCCCAGGCGGACCCGGTGACTTGCGCGTGCATGGGCGCGCGCGCCCGGGAGCAGGGTGGGGCTGGCCCAGGAAGGGTTTTTTTTCTATTTCGGGGCCCATGTGCGCCCCGCCGCCCTTGCCCCCCCGGGGGGGGGGGGGGGCGGTCTCGGCTGCCGGGGGGGGCGGAGCACGCGGCGCGCCGCCTCCACCCGCTTTACGCGCTGCACGCCCCGGCCCCCGCCGGGCGCACGCTCCCTGTCCCCACTTGTCTTGGTGCAAGACCACCGGGGATTGGGATAGCCCCGGAGATCCCCGCGCGTGAAATGACGTTGGTGCTACTGGCCGCGGCCAGCGACAGATGGTCCTATTGGTAGGCAGATTGTTCGGCGCCCTCGTGGCGCCTGGGTGCGAGGATGTAGCGTGCGGCCGAGTGCACGGCCTTGGGGGCACCCCGGCTTCTCCTGGTCAAGGCG